GAGCTCCCTTAAAAGGAGATGCACCTCTGTTGGTATGAGTAGTACTATTAATTCTTTTATATTAATCTTGGGTATTACACCCTCATCTTGTGGGTCTCATTATTTTCTCACCATTGTTGATGATTTTTCTCAGGCTCTTTGGGTGCATTTATTCACTACCAAGACTGAAGTTCCTCAATTAATTAAAAAAAAAATTCACAATGGTGTGGACTCAAATTGCCAAAAATATTAACATTGTTCGCAGTAAACTTACCAAACTTTGCGACCTTTTTTTAGGAAAAATGAGTAATTTTTCAAACTTCGTGTGTTGCTACACCTCAACAAAATGGTCGGGCAGAACGCAAGCACCGTCATATTTTGGAAATTGCCCGGGCTCTACGATTTCAAGCAAACTTACCAATTTCTTTTTGGGGTGAGTGTGTTCTTGTTGCCGGTTATCTTATCAATCGCACCACTTCAATGCTAAATAAAGGAAAAAGTCTGTTTGAATTATTATATGGACAACCTCCATCATATGATCATCTTCGGACTTTCGGTTGTTTATGTTACGTTTATCATAATAAGCGTGATAATGATAAATTTGCTCCCCACAGTCAAAGGTGTGTATTTTTGGGTTACTCCTATACTCAAAAAGGATGGAAACTCTTTAATTTGGAGACGGAGCGTCATTTCATCTCAAGAGATGTTCGGTTTGATGAATCAATTTTTCCTTTTGCAAAAATGGAGTGTTCTGATGACCAAACAAATACTTTTAAATATCCAAATAACATTCTCTCCACTACAGGCATGCACTAACAGAGGATGACTTATCACCTTTGCCAGCTTTCACAAATAAATCAGGAATGCAGAGACCCTTGGGCCCCAAATCACCACCAACTACTGAAACACTTTCACAAAATCATCACATGCAACACGCCCCACCTTTTGGCCAAGAAATGAAAAACTCCCTGGAATCAACGTCTCCTAGTGAACCTTCTACACTCTCATCTCCTGGCAACATGGATCCCACTGAGTCCGTCTCTTATGAAATTAACTCAAAACTGACCTCGCAGCAACCCTTTTCCCCCCTTGGACGCGGTCTACGACAGCGAACTCGGCCAGCAAAATTACAGGATTATTTGTGCAGCAACGTGACTCATGAAGACCCCCACCTCATCACCCCTCCCTCTGCTTCCTCAGGTATCCTCTATCCCTTGACTTATTACGTAAATAACAACAAATTCTCATTTCCCCACCGATCATTTCTTACAGCAATTTCAACTGGTGTGGAACCTACTACTTACCGAGAAGCTATTCGTGATGATCATTGGAAAGTAGCCATGCAAAATGAACTTGCTGCTCTTGAAAAAATAGGAACGTGGACCTTAACTAAGTTGCCTCCACACAAATCAGCCATACGATCAAAATGGGTTTACAAAATAAAATATCGCAATGACGGAACTGTGGAACGTTATAAGGCACGTTTAGTCATTTGCGGAAATCATCAAATTGAGGGTATTGACTACCATGAAACATTTGCTCCGGTTGCTAAAATGGTTACAGTTCAAACCATCTTAGCAGTCGCTGATTCCCGTAACTGGGATCTTTATCAACTGGACGTAGATAATGCCTTTTTACATGGTGATCTAAATGAAGAGGTGTACATGCATCCGCCACCTGGATTTCGAAGTATAGCCTCTGGTCTTGTTTGCCGGTTACACCGCTCTCTTTATGGTCTCCGGCAAGCCCCCCGCTGTTGGTTTCACAAATTAACTACGGCCCTTAAATCATTTTGCTTCTCTATGTCAAATGCTGATTACTCACTTTTTACATTACACAACGAGTCTGGTTCCCTTTGTGTTCTCATTTATGTGGACGATCTCCTTATTACTGGCTCTAATTCGGCTATGGTTGACCAACTCAAATGTTTTCTGAAACAATGCTTTCCCATTAAAGATTTGGGCAAATTAAAATACTTTCTTGGGATAGAAGTGGCGAGAAATTCTTCTAGAATTTTTTATCACAACGAAAATATGTTCTTGATTTTCTAGCCGAAATCGGTTTGACGGGCGTCAACCCGTCTTCTTTTCCGATGGAACAAAATCACCGGCTTGCAATCGACACTGGCCCTTACTTTGATAACCTCGAGCGCTATCGGCGTGTCATTGGGAAACTTATTTATTTGAACTTGACCCGACCAGATATTAGTTATGTTGTTCATATCCTTGCTCAGTTTATGCAAAAACCACGTATGGCACACTGGGATGCGGCAATTCGGGTTCTCCGCTATCTTAAGTCCACACCTAGACAGGGTATGCTTTTATCTGCCAGTTCAACACTTGAACTTGCTGGCTACTGTGATTATGACTGGGCGGGATGCCCACTCACACGACGATCGGTAACACGTTTTTTCGTCCGCCTTCGGGACTCCCCGATTGCATGGAAAACAAAGAAACAACATACAATGTCTCGCTCTTCGCTAAAGCTGAATATCGCTCCATGGCATCTGTCACATGTGAACTTATTTGGCTAAAAAGTCTTCTCACATCTCTAAATGTTCATAATTAGCAGTCTATTCCATTATATTATGACAACCGTGCGGCCATTCACATTGTGTCCAATCCGGTCTTCCATGAACTCACAAAACGCATTGAGATAGACTGTCACTTCCTCCGCAATCATGTTCAGACTGGTCTTATTTGCCCTCGACACCTAAGCACAAATGAACAACTCGTTGACATTTTTACAAAAGCTCTCGGTTCTTGATAAGTCCGTATTTTGACACGCATTTGATGTGTGTTGAGATCGGCTTTTGATGATTTTCCTATCTTTAAGGTGTTACAAGTCTCAATTTTAGCTCAAGTTATGTTTACCGGGCGTTGGTTCGAGTTTTGTGTTGTTTCTAGTCAAAATCCGGGAATTTGAGCCCGGTACCGGCACTTGAGGAACAATCGGGATGATTTGAGAAGCATTTGAGAATGATTTGATAGCTTTGGAGGTCACCGGAAGATTCACGATGAAGATTTGAAGGAAAAAGAGGTATAGGATTGGCTACGGGGTCAAAAGAAGATGAATGAAGCTTGAAAACGACGATCAGGATGACCTTCTGTCAATCGTTCAAGCATATCTCTTTGTAGAAACATCCAATGTACACGATTCAAGTTCCATAGGAAATCCAACTTCAAGGGCTACAAATCATATGAAGAAACCTTTGCGAGAATATGAGAGCAAGAAGGTAAAAACAGACGATGAAGTCAGATGATCTCTGCTGCGATTTCAGAATGACACTTTCCACCGTTTTGATCGTATCTCTTGATTGGATGATTCAAATCACATTCGGAAAATTGGGGTGGATAGAGGACTTCATTATCTAAAACTTTCATGAATAATGTTTTGTCAAATTCGAAAGTTTTACGCACGTCGTGCGTAGGGGAACGCACGACTGTGCGTCTGAGGCGAGAAAGCAAGGGAGACACTGCCAGCAACGCACGGCCGTGCGTGGGGGGGGGGGGGGGGACGCACGCCGTGCGTAGACCCGGGTTACGCGAAATTGAATCCCAAATCAACCCAAATTCATATTTTTCACCCTTTTTCTATAAATAAGGCTCCCCTAACCCTTTTTGGGGGTTACTAACATTACGGAGAGGCCTAGGGACGAATTTAACACCGTTTTTACGCTATTTTCTTCCAAGACCCTGGGATTATTTGTAAGTTCATCTTTTTAATTAATGACAATTATTTTTATTCATCTCAATTCTGTTGATTCTTCAATTATGAATTGTGAGTAGTTTAATTAGGGATTTGGGGTTGATGAAGGGGTTAATCATGATTGATGGCTAGATTCTTGTCGATTTAATTGCATGAATGCCGTTTAATTTGTGTTTGAATAATTTAACTGATATCTCTTGTAACCTAGATGGCCACTAGAATTACAATTGCTTATAGAATAAATTAAGAGAGATCTAATTTGTTCTAGGACACATTCACACACACTTAATCTTTCGCTAAGAGATTAGTAACGATTAAGGGGCCGTAAGCTCGCTCGTCTTGGCAATAATTTAGGATCCTGTCGCATGAGAGATCAGCCTGGACCCCTAAATCATTGTACTCTTCGCCGCGAGAACGGTAAGAACTTAGTAATGATTAGCTAGGCTCAATTAAATTAAATTCATGTAATTAGGCCTGATCTGCCAGAAATCTGGTTACCCCGGAATCAATTCCTGTTCCCTTCGTCGTTAATTGAGAAGAAACCAATCTTTTATTTTTATCGCTCATTAGCATTAATTTTATTTTACTCAATCAACCAATCTCGCACAATTGCATTTTATTTTATTTATTTCTTTTTAATCGCTGAATTTAGTTAATTTTTAATTCCCTTTTGTCCGTCCCTGTGGAGACGATACTCGTACTTTCAACCACTTTTCTACAACTATTTTAAGTGCGAGAAAACACTCATAAGTTCTCATCAATTTACCTATCTATTGTCCAAATTGGGCATTCGCAACCTCCATGCTCCAACTTGAGGGGATGTACAGATTCAAATGTATTTGAATTAGCATATGTCCTTGAAAAGATACGAATATATTCATAGGGCCATATAATATATTGTATTCTAGCTAGTTTTATATTTCAACACCCACATGGGATGCTATGTACGTAGGATATTAGTTCTTTATAAGCATGTACTCTCCCACCAGAAATAGAAAGCAAGACAATCAAAATATTTGTTTCGCTGGTAACATTATTTTACTTTAGCAAAGAGTTAAGAAACGACTATGTTTGGTTCAACAGAGTGAGAACATTTATTGTTAAAAGTAGGATATTATATTTGACATGCTTGATCTACTTGATTATATAGTACTCTAGAGTCTAGAATGAAATAGGAAAGTTAATGCAACAAAAGAACCCCCCCACCCACCCACCCACCTCCCTCCCTCCCTCCCCATATTGTGAGAAGGATATGAAGAGTTTTGAGAACTCCAAAGCTCCCCCACTTTCCTCCCCATACACCAAAATTCCCCCAACAAAACAAACTGCTTCACTTTTCTCTCATTCACCCCGAAGTCCTCTAAGGCTCTAACCAACCCCAATCACGGGCTTACAAAAATGTCAAGCAAGAGACCTAAAGTTAAAACCTTTTGAATGATCTCATCCATATGATGCATTTCCTAATAAGAAAAACAAAAACCGGAGAAGTTCTACTTCCATCACACTATTGCATATTCGCATTACCTTTCTATTAATCAAGAAAAGGCAATAAATTCAACATATAATTTATAGGAATACCGAGAGAAAAACTATGCAATTGTAGATTTATAATAAGATAGCAAGATTCACTCATCAGTGATGCTAGAGCAGAAGGCTTAACATATTTCTCCACCATTGAAACAAATCGTCTTGATCCCCCGCCAACCCCAACGTAATGCTTTTTAGTAGCTACATAGACCACTCCATGAGGACAACTTGTGCACTGTAAAATAAGGCTACGAGCTCAAGAATAAAAACAACCCTTCCAAAAAACACTCATTATTATGAATAATTGGGAACCTTTTCAATAAGTTTATAGAGACCGGGGAGTGCAGACATCGAATACACTGTTTCAGCCATGAGAATTATATCATAACATGCAGTGCCATTCATAGTTTGACCCTCACTTGTATCATTAGCATCAGTAAGAGGAACAATGCATTGAATGTCGCCCCAGACTCCTGCAAAGTAACTCAGTTCAGCCTCAGAACTCAATTTTACTGGGGATATAGCCATTTGCTGGGTATAGGCATTTACATGTGGAATGGTGAGACACTGCAGGACCTCAGCATTAAAATCCTGGAAATGCACAGCAACAGCAACCATAGAGAAATTTAAACCATTTGCTACGTCAGAATAGCTTATTTCTCAAGCAGTCCAAGACTCCAAGTGCAGCTTCTGAACTGTTTTGGTTCATTTCCGAGGACATGCATGTTATTTATAGTGGAGGGGTCAGGGGGTTGAGGTTGATAAAACTAAGATTCAAGCAGTAATTGATTTGCCCACTCCTAGCTTAATCATGGCCTTACACGGGTTCTTAGGCCTTGCTGGTTACTACCCCCAAATTTATTCAACGATACAAAATCATTGCAGGACCCTTGACACAACTATAGAAGAAGAACTCCTTTGTCTGAACAGGAAGTCAGGAAGTGCAGCAGAAGCCTTCAACCAGTTAAAACTTTTCCTCTCAACAAAGTTGGTGCTACAATTGTCAAATTTTCAGCAAGACTTTGAGGTCCAGTGTGATGCCTCAGCCCACATGTACTGGTTTTGGCAGGATGCGGCAGCAGGATGGCAGGATGGACATCCAACCGCTTATCACTTCAGCGGAAAGATGGCAGATCACCATATTAATGTCGTAGAAATTGCCTTATATAGGAGTAAACATAAACATTAATTGCACAAATATGAGTAAAACTTAAAAAAAATTCCAATAGAAGTAAACAATAATTTTTTACCCTTAATACCCCTAATCTAATTAATTCTTAAATCGGACTTTTCTTATCCTACTAAAATATAAAAATATCTAAAATATTTTTTAAACATATTGAAATAATAAAAATTAAAAAAAATTAATATAGAAAAACACATTAAAAAAATGGAGGCCTTTCCCACAACCTCGGCCACCACCTAGCAATGTCACCTCCGATCTGCGAAAAAAATGTCATTTTATGTAAAACATGGAATCTATAAGGACCTATATATGAAGCACGGATACTTCGCTAGGGTAGCGTATCGGCGTATCCGATACGTTCCCGTATCCGGTACTCTAGGATACCCGTACCGTACGTTCCTGGGCCGTATCTGTAATTTTTAAAAGTTTCCATTTTTTTTTTTTTGTAATTTTTTGAAAGTTTCCGATACTCGTATCCTGACGGATACCCGTATCGACTTTTAAAAAAAAAAACCAAAATTTACTTAATAAAATTCTTAAAAAAATGAAAATCTAAAACTACATTTTACTTGGTAATCAAATAATGGGCCTATATGGCTATATCCGAATTAAGTCATTAACTCATACTCCGAATTGGATACTTGCACTTTTAATTTCAAGATTGTAGTTGTTTGACTTATTTCTCATTTTAAATTAATGACTTATTGACTACATTTATATTTCGAGATGCACTAGTGTATGTGAGAAATATTATGAATTTATTACTAAGTATCTTGAAAAAGGAAAATGCTTCAATGCAATGAATGGGTAGACATCATAGGATAGTATATGTATGTGTATATATATATATATATATATATATATATATATATATATTTAAAAAATCTATTTTTAATATTTATAAATAGACCCCTATAACTTTTAATATTTGTAAATACACCCCCATAACTTTTAATATTTATAAATATGGCCCCGTATCCGTATCCTACTTTTTTCGATTTTGACGTATCCCCGTACCCGTTTCCGCGTTTCTGCGTTTCCGCGTACCGGTATCTGTGCTACATAGGGTTTGACCCGATGCACACATGTTTCATTGATGTACGATAACATAATAGTCGTCAAGCCTCATCAAAGATTATTGCCGAGCTTATCAAACAAGAGTATAACGACCATCAAAGAAGCCTTACTTGTCAGATTCAGTTATGATTGATATGCAAAAATGTACTCATTGCCTTAGAGTTGGACATAATCGAAAGACCTGTACAAACCCTATCTCGCTACACATGAGATGAAACATCTCTTGTCATTTTTCATGTTATTTCTTAATGGGAAAGCTATCAAACAAGTCCATCTACTTTTACTAAAAAGTCAATTGAGTCCACATACTTTTTAATGAATCAATAAAGTCCACAAACTGTCAAAAAATAACCAAATCGTCCATTTGACCGGTCATCCCTAGGTTTTCCGGTTAGATCGCCCAATTGGCTTTTTATTAATATTTTCTACTTTTATAAATTTTTTTAATTCGTTTTTCTTTCCTCGGTTCCCTGCGTCTACTACAACTCTAGCAGGAGTGGAGCTTTGTTTACAATAGTCATTCAATCTGCTCCCCTAGGCCGATCCACCAGTTTATGGAGGCTGGGGCGGGGGCGGTGGCGGTTATGGAGGTAGCAGTGGCGGTTATGGAGGTAGCAGTGGCTATGGAAGTCGGGGCAGCTGTTGCAGGTCGCTCCAATGGAGAAGACGGAGGTGAAGCCGCGGAGGTGGGTGAGGCGAAGGTGGAAGCGAAGGTGGTTGGAGGTCGCTTCAATAGAGGGGGCGTAGGTGGAGGCCGCAGGCGGTACGTGGTGGTGGTGATAGAAGACAGGGCGGTGGAGGTCGCGGCGGTGGTTTGGAGGTGGGGCGGCTGACATGGAGAAAGTGGTAGAATGAGACCGCAAGTGGAGGTGGGGCCTCAAACAAGAAAGCAGGGAATGGAAGCGGAGAAAGGCTGGGAAGGGAGGGGAAGAGAAAGAAGAGAAAAAGAATAAAAAAATAAATAAAAAGGAAAAGAATATATAAAAAATTGGAAAACAATAAATAAAAAAACAGTTGGACGATCTGACCGGGAAACCGAGTGATTACCGGTCAAATGGACGATTTGATTAATTTTTTATACTTCATGGACTCAATTGATTCATTAAAAAGTATGTGTACTCAATTGACTTTTTAGTAAAAATAGATGGACTTATTTGACAATTTTCCCTTTCTTAATTGTTTAGACATTGTTGCTCACATTTTATTAACTTTTCATTTTATAATTACTTCTATGTTATTGGTATTTTAATGCCTTCATCTTAATATACAAATTTAATTGCTGCAGGAAGACACTTAAAAAATTAATGGTTATTCCATAAGCATCGTGGGAATTTTAAAACCAGCACATGTAGTCTTTGAATATTTTATTGATTCAAATGAAAGTATAAGTTAAAGCTGCAATGCTCTTTGTGTTACTTGTGTATATATTTAATGCCTGAATTATCGTCAATTTTTAATTGTCATATTACACCTATGAAATAAATAATCCCAAACTCTCTGTGAAACAAATTACATGACAACTTTTCATTAAAAACTAACACTTTTATTGCTCAATGGCTCACAATAGCTCAACATATACCCTCAATGTCTTGAACATTTTCTACAACTCTTACCAATACTCAACATATATACTCAATGTGGCTCCACAAATACACGTTTAACCAATACACTTAACCAAAACTTGAAAATATGTGGGTCATTTAACACATTTAACAGTCACAAACAAAGCAATAATGTTGCAATGTATTATATCAAGCACATATCATATCCATCTCTAACAATTCAAAAAAATGCGGGTCGTTGATTTTTCAAATTTATGCCCCTATGACACCAAAATGAACTAGAAGCTCGTCATCATCTTGATACGGTATGCATTCATATCTTCTGGCCTCATGTACTCAACATCATTGCCCATCATCAAATACACTGCCATCTTTAACACGAGCATGCCACAACGGTCACTATTCAATATTTAATAAAAAGTACCACTAAATACATGAGTGGCGTCATGTATGACGTTTGTATATGACATCATATATGATGTCATATATGTTACTATAATCTAAATGATAATCTAAATAAGATGCCCATATGATAAATGTAGTTAGATTTAATTTAAATTGCAAATGCACAAATACGTGTGAAAAGGAAAATTATATATATCGATCTACTTAGTTACTGCCCTTTTTATTTTGAAGGTTATCCTGCCACAGAGATCTTCCTACCCAAAAAGAAGTTTTTCCGAAGAATACCAAAGGGAGAAAATGACGAGGCGGGCTGTACAAAATTGTAGTCTGCCCTCTGCTTCAAATTTAATTAAAATTATGATTTTTCGAAAATAAAGTCTACCTTATATAATATTGTCTATGTTCTTAAATAAGTGCAACAAGTTGAATTTTACACTATTCACATGATTTATTTATTAATATATTAATAATAAATATTTTTGGAAATGTATTGTTAAATTTTTCTCGTTGTAATTTTTCAAAATCTAATGTTTTTAATGTTTTAATTAATAAAAAATTATATATATTTGTTGGCTCTATCCCTTGAAAATTAACGTGTTGACCGTGTTGCCCTTAGGTTGACATCTTTGACTATCTAGCTCTGAGAATTGATCTGCAAAATAATCGCTAAAACGAACTAAGAATATATTAGAGGCTCGAGACGCGTCAGACGCTGTCCTAAGGAATTATTTCCGGCGTACGGAAATTTCCCCCAAGATATAACGAGCCCTTCGGTTATAAAACCGGCACCAGAACTAACGAGAAGAAAATAATATATGAACCCAGTAATAAAAGTGTATTGTTTATTTGTCGTATACTTGTATACACACATCCCCATATATGCATGCTTTATCATCTATAGAGGAAGTAAAGCATATACACACATATTAATCTATGAAGAGTAATATATTCATTTTCTCAAGATTTGAGTATGACTAGTATTTCCCTTTTCAAAATCTCTATCCGTTGTGGAGTGTGCATGGAGTATATATACTCCTTACTCCTCAAAGTAACGTTTCAATATTCAATGATATATATTAATTAAGTATAATTAATAATGATAAATGATTCCCCATGCACTCAAGCTAGCCACAAACGAACGTTTAGAAGATAAAAAGTTATTTTACTAAAAATTAATGATATTAAAATGTTACCTCAACATTATTACTAAAGAAGATGAAACCAAAACACATATAATACTCCCAATGTATTTTAACAATAATATTTTATTCATTTGAAATACTTTCAATTTTCCAACAATCCCCCACATATTTCAAATGAATAATATTAAGTATTTAAAAATATTAATTCCTTACTGGGTTTCATATATGGGGTGAGGTTTTTCAATCTGGTGTCCGTAGACTTGAACCAGACCTAGACGCCTAAGTCTTTAAATACCGAGTTTATTGGTGAAACGTATAGTTTCTATGAACCAATAATCTACTTTGGTAAGTCAGTGTCTTAGGGGGTCATTTTTCACCCCAACCTTTCTCGTCATTAACGCCGTTGTGCGCCTCTAGGCCGTGCGCGTGCTTGGTTTTCTTGAGTGCTCTAGAAGTGTTGTCAATGTTTCATGGAGGCGGCCCCACCTCACACTCATATAGGTGACTTCATCAAGTGTGTCCCACACTTAACACACCACCCGTAAGGGCTATGACAGTCATTAAGAGTTTTAACTCAACCTCACAAAGAGATGCAGTCTAGCCTTCCACATCATAGAAA